AGAAACAGCGATCGGAATTACCCCGATTTCACCGATACCACGCGGTCGGAAGGCCGCGAGTGCTCGCGAGGCCGTGTTTACGCTACCTACATGTTTTCTCTTTGATGTTTCGGCCTACCATCTGCCTTCCTGCCTTCTTTTCTGAGACGTTGCGTCAATCGTCAATGATCTTTCACGACTTCCACCTTGGAGTGAGAGTTGATCTACTCTACTGTTGAAGCATTTTGCTATACCCTTTCCTTTTATTAGGAAATGTAGTTTTGGCTGGGTCAGATAAAAGTTGAGAGAGTAAAATATCAGGGACCATTTTATCACAATAATGTTATTTTGATTTCCGGCCAGAACGAAATATTGCATGACAAGGATTATCCATTGAATATTTACAAAATGAAAATCATGTAGAAATGTAACCCTTGTAAGTCACTTTAACTTTAACTGTGTCCCTAAAGTGGTGCATGACAACTTGTGTTCACTATAAACTCAACCCCTATCTGCATTATATATCGTGTTACTGTTAATGTTAATACTGTACATTCAGACCTTTCCAAAATAACATTTCTATGAATTTTAGAAATTTTTTTCACAGAATCACAGTCCTTCAAAATGATCACTGACGTGCAGCTCGCTATCTTCGCCAATGGCTTGGGAGTGGCTCTGTTCCTCCTGGTTGTTTTGTATCACTACGTGTCGGTGAATAATGTCAAGAAGTTGGACTGATGGAGACCGCGTCACAGTCATACATGTTATCGTCATCATGTAAGTTCACGGACTACTCTGCGTCACAGTCATACATGTTATCGTCATCTCATGTAAGTTCACGGACTACTGTGCGTCACAGTCATACATGTTATCGTCGTCATGTAAGTTCACGGACTACTGTGTGTCACAGTCATACATGTTATCGTCATCATGTAAGTTCACGGACTACTGTGTGTCACAGTCATACATGTTATCGCCATCATGTAAGTTCACGGACTACTGTGCGTCACAGTCATACATGTTATCGTCATCATATAAGTTCACTGACTACTGTGCGTCACAGTCATACTTGTTATCGTCATCATATAAGTTCACTGACTACTGTGCGTCACAGTCATACATGTTATCGTCATCATATAAGTTCACTGACTACTGTGTGTCACAGTCATTCATGTTATCGTCGTCATGTAAGTTCACGGACTACTGTGCGTCAGTCATTCATACATGTTATCGTCGTCATGTAAGTTCACTGACTACTGTGTGTCACAGTCATACATGTTATCGTCGTCATGTAAGTTCACGGACTACTGTGGGTGTTTAGTATTTTGTGGTTGCTCAGTCTCCCTTTTATCATTCATGTAGGGTTGACATTTTTACGTTTACAAAGGTTTTTTTGTTTTTTTACAGAAAACGATAAACATTTTGGTCGAGGGTGAATATTTCGAACACGTTGGAGGTTGACAAATGGGTTTGACATAACATGTTTTCAGTAATTTACCCGAAAAATTAGAGACATTGAAGAAAATATAAGGAAAGTAACTGGTAGAATAATGGGCAGAAATAAATCCCACCCCACGACTCAGCACCCACAGTACAGTGCCTTACTTAAACAATAGCTCAGCTGCTCTGCCTCACTGTTCCTTCTGCTGACTTTCCTCACTACCATCGTTCAGCTGACTTTCCTCACTACCATCGTTCAGCTGACTTTCCTCACTACCGTCGTTCAGCTGACTTTCCTCACTACCATCGTCGTGTTGCATTTTCCTATAGAAGAACTAGAACAGTTGCATGAAGTTTGACTATCCTCTAAGTCTAAGACACTATTTCATTAATGTATAACAATTTAATGGCCTCTGTCATTTGTCAAAATATTTTACTCAGGCTATTACCGTTTTGTTTTTTTATTGGGGGGGG